CCAATTTCCTTTTTTCTACTGATCAAAAAAGTTGGTTTTAGTGGAAAAGGAGGAGATGGGGGACTGTGTAATTTTCCCCATCAGTGTTCTGTTGTATAAAAAGCTTCTTGCTAACTTCAAAAAATGTAATTTATCATTTTTCCTCTTCACAAAGAGGATAATGCTCCCCCCTCCCCATCAAGGCCTTGTGGGATTGAACATTTGTGCCCTGCAGGACAGCTCTTCAAAAGTTTTCAGTTCTGTTAATCTTCCTGTGTGGCCCTCCAGCCTTCCTTATCGCTTTCTTTTATTATGTGCAGTTCAAGTGGGGCTGGCTGTTTTAATAGCCCATCTTCTGGGGCTTCAAAAGAATCCCCCTGGAATGCTCCATTAAGGGATCTCCAAAGCCAGCCCTATTTTCAAACAGGCTCTTCAAATTTGTGATTTGGTGTTTATGTGTTTGCCTCCAGCATATTGTAAGCAAACCCAATCCTTTGCCGAGAAAGATGCCCCAGCTCCTGGGAGGACACTGTGCTGCTTGGATTTAGGCCAGCCATTTTCGATTGAGCAACCTGTTGTCTTTCAAAATTTAATTTGTTATTAATCAGAGAGAAGCAAACAGTTGTGGCGCAAGCAGGGTGTGGGAACCTGGAAGGGGAATTGGCAGATTACTGTATTTGAGGAGAAAAATAACCCCAGAGATTGCTGTTTCTAAGGGTGACAGGTTGTGACTGCTGGCATTCAACTTCATTTTGAGGAATGGGTGATCTCTCTGGCACTACTCGCTGTCTAGAATAGTATGTAGTGATGGAGGGGTGCTGCATAAGCATTTCTTCAGCCAGTACTTTTAAAAGCATTTTCCTTTTTTTCCATCCAGGGAAACATATCCATGGATTCTCAGTCTTCCCAGTCTTCTCTGCATTCACTATTTTAGGATGTAGAAACAGGATGATTTACACTTTCCTGCATTCATTTGAAACTGGAGATTGACTTTCATTGTAGCATAGTGTTGGTTTTCTTGGTTTCTCCATATTGGTATAAGACTTTCCAAAATCTGAATCAATTGTTTGTTGATTTGGACAGTACAGATAGTCCTCAACTTACAACAGTTCATTTAGTGACCAAAATTACTGTCAGATCCCTGACTGACACTGGAAAAAGTCATTTTTCACAATTATGACCGGTGCAGCATCCCCCATGGTTATGTGATTTACATTCAGATGCTTGATAACTAATTCATATTTATGACTGTTGCTGTATTCCAAGATCATGTGATCACCTTTTGCGACTTTCTGACAAGCAAAGTCAATGGGAAAACCAAATTCACCTAACAACTATATTACTAATTTAACAATTGCAGTGATTCACTTAATAAATGTGGCAAGAAAAGTCATAAAATGGGACAAAACTCACTTAACAAAATTTTTCACTTGGGAACATAAATTTGGGACTCATTTGTGGTCGTAAGTCAAGGCCTACCTGTAAAAGGGAAGTGAGTGGGGATGTTTCTTGCCCTTCACTGCATTCTCCATCAGCAGTAGCAAGAGAGTATTCAGTGGTAGCAAGTACCTGCAAAGGATGTAAGTTGCCCTTAAGTATTTATAGCCTCAGCAAAATTCATCGTCTCCAAAAAATCTGAGATTTGAAAAAGGGGAGAGAATAATACTGGTATATTAGTTTATACATTATTGCCATAATGTTTGTTTTGGCATTTTGTCACAAATCACAAACCATTATTTAACATGTTGTATAAATCAGATGACTTGATGAACAGATCTAGCCTGTTCTATAAATCCTGTTTAAAACAAGCCATGGCTTGATGTACTGTGTAATCATAATCATTGGATTAGACAAATGACCTAACAGCTCATGGAAAATGGCAAATTCCTAAAAGAAATGGAAGACAACCTTGTAATAATGGTCTATGTAAAATACAGAAGTTTGATTTGTTGTGTTTTCCATGTGATTCTAATGATAACTGTTAGTAGAAACCTTTTCCAAACTGGGAATTGCTATTATAAATCTAAGAATTATCTATTAGGTATGCAACAATTTATGATCATCCAATTGACTTTCATTGATCAAAGTGGTGTGATAATAAGTTACATAGTCTCTCTGTGATCTAAAAGTTTTAGTCCAATTTTAGATGGATCATTGCCTAAATGAAATTTTTTGACATTAGTTAGAGCTAGTTTGCTGTAGTGGTTAAGGTGCTCATCTAGTAACCAGGATACTGTGAGTTCTGGTTCTGCCTTAAGCATGAAAGCCTGTTGAGTGGCTTTGAGCCAATCACTGTCCCATAGCCCACACAGGGGTGTTGTGGGGAAAATGGAGGAAGAATTTCCTGCCTTGAGTTACTTACAAAGTATGAAAGGCAGGATAAAAAACTAATAAAATAAACTTTCCCTTTTTCACCCAGAAATGTTAGTTTTAACAAATAATTGAGGAGAATAGAGTATGTGTATATCCAGATGTTTGTTAAATCCAAATTTACATCATCTGTTGCAAATGATGTAAATTTATATTAAACACATAGACTTTGAATGCTAAAAACTTGTCTGTTATTTGGAGGGTTGCAAATCTGGTATGTTGCACTGGAAGTCCAATGAAATCCAAAAAAACAGGATCCATGGTTTCACTGTCATCTGATTTTCAGATGCAATATCAAGGGTTTATATGAATACTATTCTTGCTGCAAGTAGTTTTTACTCAATTTATTTGATTTGATAATTACATATATACCCTTGTTATTGTTTTAGAACCTAGTATAATTCTGATATTATTACAAGTAGTAATAGTATCCAACTTAACCATTAGTTTAGTGATGGTTTGAAGTTATAATCACTGAAAAAAGTGACTTACAACCAGTTTTTACACTTATGACCATTGCAGCATCCCCATGGTCATGTGATTGGAATTTGTGCACTTGACATCTGGCATGTATGATAGTTGCACTGTTCCAAGGTTGGGTGATCACCATTTACAACCTTCCCAGTCAGCTTCCAATAAGCAAAGTCAGTGGGGGGAGCCAGATTTCCTTAATGACCACATGATTCTCTTAACAATTGTCTTGCTTAGCAACAGAAATTTTGGGCTCCATTCTGGTCGTAAGTGAAAGACTACCTATATAAACCATAATCTGTAAGAGTAGAAGAGCTACAGGCCAAGCTATTTCTGAGTTTCAATGATATAAGTATGGTTACAATGCATATACATTGCAATGCATAAATGCACTATAATTATAACTACTTCTTCTTGTGCCATATTCATTATCGGACGTTGGCGATCATGTTGATGATACGAAAAAGTGCTGCTGAGTTTTGTCCAAACCAGTCCCTTAGATTTTGAAGCCACGATGTTCTTCTGCCTGGACCTTGTTTGCCTTCAATCTTTCCCTGGAGGATTAAATGGAGTATGCCGTATTTTTCTGGGTGTCGCATCACATGTCCGAAATATTCTAATTTTCGTTTTTTATTTGTTTTGATGATTTCCCTTGGCTTTCCCAGGTGGCTTATCATCTCCTTATTATAACTATAATCTTCAATCCATATGTCAATCTTTCTCAACCTAGTGTCTTCTACAGATATTATACTGCAGTTTCTGTCATTCCTAGGCAAGCTGTCTGAAGTTACACATCTGGATGGCCCCAGATGGGGAAGAAGCCTAGTTTATAATCATAACTCCAAAAAGAGGTTGACAGCATAATAAAGCTATTACCTTAGGTATTTTCACCAATGAATTGCTTTTGCATCCTGTTTATAACATCTCATAATTTGTGTTCTTTTCCTGTTCTCTTCACATCTATTTCTCTCCCTCCCTCCCTCCCTCTCTCTCTCTCTCTCTCTGTGTGCATCTCATATATAGGAGATACCATTTCTACATTTTCAGTTTTAATAATTCTCTTGTTCTAGACATGAAGGGAATCTAAAACTGGAAATTCATTCCTACTAGTAGATGATGATTTATTTACTGACTTCCCAACTCAACAGTATGATTTTCTGATGATACTATGAACAGTTTTTCATTCTACCATTGTATTTTTGGTCTGATGGAAATTTGAATTAAAATTTGGATTGATAAAAATATTGCCTCAGTATGGATTTCACGTTTTGTTAATAACTTGGTGAGTATGATTGCTTTTACATCATCAGTCATTGTGCATGAGAGTTTTCCAGGTAGTACCAGCTCTGTGAAATTAACAGCCTTCTACATTTTGTTGGTCCGATATTGATTATGTTGGTATATCCTGAATTGAGTATTACCGGTAGTACATTAATATATTTTCTAGTTTGTGGGGTGAAGGCAACAGTATGCTTCCAAGATAGTTTCTAGAATTGAGATCCTAGCTTTTCTTCCTCTTTCTTACTCATGAGGAGTAAGACTGGTTTTGCCCAACGTCTTGTCTGCAGCAGGGAATGCTATATGTGAGGGAGAATAGAAAACTAGAGGTGAAGTCGGGGAAATGTAACATACTGAATGAAATACAACCTTAATAGAATAAATTGTTCTGCTAGATAATATGAATGAGTGGGAATGAGATGAGAGTAGTGATTAGGCCATCCAGAGACTCAGGAATAATTGAGAATATTGTTGTATACTGAGTATTTGCTTAGAAAAAGGTCTGCTTTGAATTTGCGATTTAAGTTTATTCATACAAATTGCAAAGGAATACAAATCTAAAAATATGACTGGTTTGATTGTTTATAATGAAAATTGAGCAAAATATACAAAACCCTGATCTGAATGTTGGGCGACCATTTCTTGATAATGTCAAAGATTAATGGGGGAAATGGATAAAAGAAAAAAATAAGTGAAAGAGGCCACTGAAACAGAATGACTGGTGGGATGAAACTCAAGGCATATGTCTTAGAAAGAATATTTGAGAGATATGTCAAAGATTGGAGTTGAAATGTTCTTAGTGTCCAGGAAAACACTAATGAAATGGAAATAAATGCTGTGAGAATCTGAAACTGAGAAGATTGTTTTAATAACTGGTATCACTAAAGAAATATTAAAATATGGATGTGGTTAACATATGTGAAGCCAGCACCTATGCCTGATATCTGGAAGAATTCCATTATGTTCTCCCACAGAAAATGAAAGATACCACAAGGAGAATTAGGTGTTAAGTGGGCCTAGGAACATTTTTCACAGAATTCTGATTCAAGGAAGAGAAGAATATAGTGCAGTTACATGCTGGACAAGAGATATGCAGCTCATCTTTATTCTTCAACATATTATTGAAGAAGAAAAAATATACAAGTTTATTTGGAGAAAACCTATGATTAAGAAAATAAGGTTGAGCTATGGGATATTTTGCAAGAGTATGTTGAAAGTTGGTTGCCGAATGCAATAAACATTATACAGTTGAAGTAAAATCTGTGTGAAAATAAATAAAATGCTTAATCAGCATTTCAGCATTATGCAAGTGGTAAGAATGTCTCATTATTTAATATGTTTGTGGTGATGTTAAAGATATGTTGGTTGAGCATGTGAATTTGTATACTTTGTATGTAGAAAATGCCTTGTTGGCTGAGAAATTGATTTGTAGCAAGTGCTAAATTGTACAGTACACATGCATTGAGGAGTTTTGATCTGAAAATTAATGTTTTAAATATAAAAGTACTTTTTTACAGAGAAAATAGGATGAATGATTGTAAATTATATGGCAAAAAATAGTAAATTGATGTTGTATATCATGTTAAAATATTTATTGAAAATTGGGATATGGACAAATCTTAAAACATGTAATAGAAAGGTAGTAGGTTGCATTTGATCTATGGTGAAGAATGAATGTTTGCCAAAAGAAGCAAAAATGACTGAATAACAGCATGCTTTTGCCCATTTAGTTGTATGGAAGCTAGAGCTGGATATGTGAAGAGGAACATAACAATCACTTGAATGCAGTGGGAATAGGATACTTAAGTGTGGCTACATCAAAAAGAGATGGAGTCAAAAATGAATGAGTGATGGATGACTGTGTATTGAATTCAAAAGTGAGTGACCAATATGAAAAAAAATACACTGAAATGGTTTAGACATGCAGAGAGTAAATGAAGATTGAATTACAAAACAAATATATGAAGAACAAACAAATGACTTGAGAGGAAGGGGAAGACCAAGAAAGTTATGGTTGGGTGGAGCTGATGAGGGCTGAAGTACAAAAAGCAATATATGAATCAGTGTATGGGAGAGGCAGGGGTGGTTTTCAAGGATAGGAAAGTATGTTGAGTATAATGAATAGTGTTAGTGTAACATAATTTTAGCTATGCTTTTTTCTGTTTCATGTTAATTTAATTTACTCTGCTTGCTCCTTCTTCTTTTGCATAATTTTATTCTACCACAAAAGGGAATAATGTAGTAAATACTGTATATATTTATGTGAAGATGTATTGATGGCTTCAGAATGTGGTTTGTGATGGTGGCTTTTTGATCTTAGGTGAGTAGATCTATTTATCTATATCACATATAAGGAACTTATTGGCTGCATGCATCTTTCTCATCACCTCTTTGCAACCCCAAATTGAATGGGATCATTTTCCCCCCCTTTTTTCATTTTGATTGATTTAAGGGACAAAACACTTTTTTTCCTTTTTCTATTTTGACCCCACTAAACCCTCAAACATGGGTTTGACAATTCTGGCTTTGCACTTTCCAGTGGTATTACAATATTATTGAACATGTGTAGAAAGAGCAGGGTTGATACCAAGATTTTAAAAAGTTGGCCACCTTTAATTCTCGCTGAAACCTATGGCAACAGGGACCATAATTTCATAGCAGTTCCTTAAAGACTATTTACAATTCATTCCTTAATAAATTTATTCCAAAGTAAATCCATACTAAATTCAGTAAATTCAACGCTACAATAAGCATTTCTAAATATTATTTATATGTGTCTAGCTCTTTTTTTAAAAAAAAAAAAAGTATGAGTCACTTCCACAATTGAGTATGAGTCAAATTTTGTAAAAAAAAGAAAAAAGAAAAAGAAAAAAAAGACTAGTACGTCTCTGTGTTCAAAGTTCATAAATCTGTCTGGGTATATATTTTTAAACAATGTTCCTAGAAATATCTACATCCTGCAGGCAGCTGATTCCAAGTCCAAAAAATCTCCTTTGGTCATCCTATAAAAACTCTCATAATTTTGTTTTCTAGGCTGAGTTTTTTTGTTAGAAAAAGTGAGCTTTTCTCAACTTTCGAATTTATAAGTTTTGAAGAAAAATTATTTAGATAATATTGTAATCTAAAAAATATGGATGCTTTAAACTATGCTTTATATTTAGGAATAAGGATAGAAATGAGCTTTTGCTACTGGCAATATTTATAAACAATAAAGCTTTATCAAATATTCTGATTATCTTAAAAATGCTCAATCCCATGAACTGTATTCTTCAGATCTTTGCTTATGGAAAGTTTCTATCTCGTATTGTCAGTGCCGCAGACTAAGCTTCTAATGGTGTACGTAAGAAAAGTGGAAGGCACATTTTTGGATCTCTGGCCACATTTGGAAATTATATACATATTGTGGCAATGCTAAGAAAATATCTGTCATGGGATAGGAAGGCAGTCAATGTACATGGTGGAATTAGCTGGTCACCAAAACATCCATTGCCAAAAGGACAGTTGGTGAAGTTGCTGCTCACTAATCCCCATAATACACTGTCTGCCACTTCAGCACATTTTTTCATGGCAGGTTTTTTGTTTTTAAGAATCAATATATAATCTATAGGGGGGGGTCCAAAATATTATTGTCATTGAAGAGGAGGAGGTTTTTATAGAATCCATATTTCTCTGTATTTTTATTTAAGGATGTCTAAGCAAACTTTGAAGGCAGGAAGATAGCCTGGCAGACAGCAAGGAAGATAGGCAGACAGCAAGGAAGATAGCCTGGCAGACAGCAAGGGTGGCCCCGGGGGAGGAGGCAAGGGCAGGTCTTGAGACTGTTGTATGGGAGGAGTTTGACTCTGTGGCTCCCGAGGACGTGGACAGGATCCTGGGGGGACTGAATGCAACCACATGTTTATTGGATCCGTGCCCCTCCTGGTTGGTACTGGCAGCTCGGGAGGGAACACGAGCCTGGCTCCAGGGAATTACAAACGC